TTCTATGCATATAATGTCTCATTTTAGATATGTTGATGATATTTTCTTTACGTCGAACGACTCACTAGAATCTATCGACCAAATGTTAGATGAGGCTAATAACTTTCATCCTAACATTAAATTAGTGCGACAAATTGGTAGAAGTGTTCCATTTCTTGATGTACTCATTGAGAACAGAAATGGCACTTTAACAACTTCAGTGTATCATAAAGAAGCAGCTGAGCCGTATGTCGTACCATTTGGATCAGATCACCCTGATCATGTTTTCCGAAACACTGTTGACACTGCTATTACGAGAGCAGTTCGTTATTCAACAACCTTATCTCAATTCGAAGAAGAAATACGACAAATGAAACTCATGTTTCTCTATAATGGGTGAGTTTCCGGTATTCATTCATGTTTTCCATTCTTTGTATGTGACATATAGGTACTCTCCAAGACATATCTATCGGCGGCTCACTACATTATTCAGTAAATATTTATCAAAGTATTTCATTTTGCCTATGTTCAATAACTCTGATGACTTCGATTATTTACGTCATCAGTTATTGACAGCATCAACAGCTACAGCATACGATAAAGTAACCAGAACCTCAACTACCAATCAAAATCATGACAAAAACATACAAAATCATATTCAACAACCTACAAAGAACAACGAATTAATAACAAGAAAACGTCTCATCATTCATTGAAGATATGAAAAAAGACTTGCGAATAATCACCGATATATTCATGAATTGTGGAGTCACACTTTCCATCAAACAGAGATCATGAACACTGTTCTGATCATTGGAACTTATCTGAATCACAACTTAAAGCAAGAATTGATGACGAAGATGATCAAACATATTCCGAATGAGAGAAGCGACAAACAGGGTAAAACGCAACCTGAGACGGATAAACGAACACATAACTCTCAAGCACAACTAAGCAGCGACTAACCTAATTCATTCAGAATTTTATGTTGCTATATATAAATAAAGAAAACATCACTCAATTGAAAATCAAATATTATATGCAGCAGTAGATCTGAAAAACAAACACACCTGCAATAAAAGCACATCAAATCATCGCCAAATTACGTTTTCAATAACAGCATCTTCACGAATATCCAAATAATTGTCTATCTACCACTATTCTCATAAAATGATCACATCATTCACATCTATAAAAAAAACCATCAGATCTTGCCATTATAGAAAGCTAAATTAACATCTTCCGTATCTTCTACAGCTACCTATGAGAAACAAGCACTCGCACGCTACCTTCGCCAAAGCCGACCGGAGGAATACGTCCTATAGAGACATCCATCCTTTCGAACGAAACAGATTCTAAAACATTTTCTGGATCCTAATAAAAACAACACGTCAACGACGTCTCTTCCTTACAATCCGCCATTAAAACAGGAAACATCCTAGCAAGGAATGTGAAAGCAATAACATATAATTCATTACAAACTCAACGAAAAACCTCTCAGACATAAATCAGTCGCTGAGATCTTTTAGCTAAACAGAAACGCATCCTCACTCCAACGACACAAAAAAAAGGATCAACTACAAATGTTACCCTTTCAAATCGTCTAAACGCTATTAAAAAATACGAACTCAGATTAAACTAACTTGTCCCCGATTCGCATTAACCTCAATGGAACAGTTCCAAAGACGGACGCATCGGAAGAGTGCGTTACCAGCGAAGAAACGCCTACCAACCACTATTGAAACAAACACTCGATAATTACAAAAGATAGAACTAACTGATGAGATCCTTAAGCAAGATCGAAACGCGTCGTAGTATGCTTCAAAGCACACCCAAACCCACACCCCTTTTTATGGAAGAATTTTGAGTCAGATTCAATAAACTGATTGTAACGATAAATATGACTCTGTTGAGTCTATATCGTAATGACAAACTGGATAGAGGTGGAGTAGCTTACAGCCACTCTCGGCAATAATATTTATTCGCTTCTTCACATATCCAGAGTGTCTCTACTTTACATTGAACACACGCTTATATAGGAGAGAGAACAATAGATAGAGAAACACAAGGAAGAGCGGTAGAGCGAGACGCATGAAGAAAACAAAGAGAAAGCAGATAAAGAGGAAAGAGGAAGATCAATAGAGGGTGACATCAATATTCGTTACACTGATCAAAAGAATCAATTTTTGATGAAAAAAATTCCGCCCTGAAAGGGTTAATCGATTGCTGAAAAGCAAGAATTGAGATCAGCAGATTGATCTTGTCTTTCCGTTAAGAGATAGGTCGGTCTGTTTCTAATTATTTGATTTGGGTATATGTAGCTAAAAACATTTACATGTATTAGGGGTGGGATCTTCGCCCTTCTCTTTATTGTGAAATCGAAGACTGAACAATAAACAACAAACGAAACGAAACGAGAAAAACAAACACACATCTCTCTCTCTCCTCCCCCGAGAGGGCAACA